TTCTACAAAGAATAAATATATATATATATATATATATATATATATAAAAATATATAAAATGTATAAAATATAAATAAAATATATAAAAATAATGGTTGACTATTTAAATTATAATAATATATAACAATAAAATTATTATATATTATTAATTACTTAGCACATTTTATTACCTTAAAGCCGTTTTACCATCGTGAGCATGCTGATCTATAGGCGCACCGTGTTGTTTTAATAACCTTTCCACCAATGACGTATGCCCTTCCTGTGCCGCGAGCATAATAGCGCTCTTTCCGTCATTGTCCGTCTCGTCAATCTTTGCGCCTGCCTCTAGTAACGCCTCGCAAACGTCGATATGACCCTCAAATGCTGCGTAGTGTAGTGGGGTCCAGCCAGAATTGTCTCTGTGCTGCTCGTCTAAGCCTTACATGGAAATTACATCTCTTTATACACTTACGAAAGAGAGACAGGGAAAGAGATCAGGCACAACATGCTTGCGCCAGTTAAACTAATTCTGCAATGTACCTCTGGCGAGCAATTGCTTCACGACGTCTGTGCCGCCCTGGGCAGCGGCCACGCTGAGAACAGTCCTGCCTTCATTGTCTATAGTGTCGACGCAGCAGCCCCAATATAGCAAAAGCTTGACGACCGATCCGTGTCCCATACTCGCGGCCGCCCACAAAGGCGTTCTCCCAGTGACGTCGCAATGATCCATATCCGCGTCATATTCCAGAAGCAAATCGCACACGTCGCGATGACCCTCGAACGCGGCGACTAACAATGGAGTCATGCCGTCTTTATCCTCGTGATCGACAGTGGCACCTCGCTCCAAAAGTATCGCCACTACCTGCGAGGAATAATTAATTCAACGCATATTATAGGTGATGTAACGTATCTATTTAATATAGCTTAATTATCATAATAATAGCCTTAATTTAATAATCGCCTTAATTAACATATTTTGTAAATTTAATCCAAATTCACTTTGTCATATTCATAGACCAAAGTTTTATACTAATAAATTATTAATGAGTTCGAGAATTATCGGATATTGACGATGGTGCAATCTTTGATATATTAATGCTCGATTTATACGACATTCATACATAAGACAGATGTACCTTCGCATATCCGTGATTTGAAGGAACACAAAGGGCGGCGACGCTGAGTGCGGTTCTGCCGTCGCTGTCGGCGTGATCGATCTCGGCACCGAAATCCAAAAGATGTTCCACGATCTCGCTGTGACCCATATACGCCGCCGCGATTAATGCGGTTCTACCCTCGTCGTCCGTTCTGTTAACATCCGCACCGTGTTTCAAGAGAGCCTTTACGATGTCCTCGTGGCCGCCCCAAGCGGCGGCTCTTAGCGCAGTTCGTTGATCCCAATCCGCGCAATCTACCATAGCCCCGTGCTTCAGAAGTTGCTCGACCACCTGGAACAGAACTCGTGAGAAATATCTGTTTCACTTTACGAGTCGTAGGATTAATTGGTCTCGCTCAATGAGATTATCTCTTACGTATATACAACGCAGAGTTAACGAGACCTGCGTATTTCCTTCATCACTTGATCTGATTGTACCTGTGTATGTCCTCCCCAGGCAGCAGCCCTCAGAGCGGTCCAGCCATCACAGTCCGCATGATCCGCTCTCGCGCCAGCAGCTAGAAGAACACGCACTACGTCCGCGTAACCGTGCCTGGCGGCCAAGTTCAGTGGCGTTTGTCCATTTCGGTCGACCGCTTCCAATTTTGCCTACATAAATTCAAAAATTCGTCAGGCTAACTCTGGTATCGCATGAAAAAAGGGATATGAATTGAGAGGGAAATAGAGAAGGAAAGGGAGAAAGGGATGGGAGGAGGGAGGGAGGAAGCGAGAGGGAGGGAGGCAAAGAGGGAGAACAAGAGAGACGGAGATTTAATATTCAATATTTTAAAACGAACAAGTCTGTATTTAGTTAAAAAATCATACCGTGTTAAAAAATAAAAATACAGATAAATGAAAACTAGATTTGTAATCAAGGATGACTTTAATATGTTTAATTATACGGATCGTAATTTATCGTAAAACGATAATCGTAGCTCTTTTAATTGATGAAAAAAATTCTATCGGTTTGAAAATAGTTTGCATACCTGGGGACAGGCTGCAAGCGCCAATTCCAACAGAGATGCATTGCCATCGGCGGCTAAAGTGTGTAACACCGTTCGTCCATAAGAGTCCGTTTGATTGATATCTCCGCTTTCACCGAGAAGCTCTGTTAACGGTTCATTCGGAGATTCTTCAATGGGGCTTACATCTTGCGAAACCTTTACAGAGAAAACACGCAATGAAATTTAATTTTTCTACTGCAATTTTCAACTGCAAGCTTTCAATTACAGGAAAATTCAATTACAAGATTTCTGTTGCAATAGACTATAGTATAACATTGTTGAACATATTACGAATCATTTAATCTAACAACATTCATAACTTTTCTAAATGAATCATATCCTTTTCTCTCTTATCACAAAAGAAACTACTTCCGGAAAACAAATTAGATATTGTTATTATCATTATTGTTTTAGTCATAATTTCCTGTGTAAAACGCTATATCTCCATAGAAATTAGATTAGATATACGAGTACTATATTTATCAAAATTCCTCCGAAGAGAATTTTATGTATTAGAAATCGAATGGAATGCACATTTAGCTCATCAGTCAGCAAATATGTATTCTTCTCCCTTATGCATGTTAGAATTCTGTAAATAGAGAAAACGCTACCTGACTAGAAGAAATAGCATCTTTGCTAGCGTCATCATCGACCGTTTTCTCAGAGGATTTAGCGCCGGCGTCAATCAGCAGTCTCAGAAGCTTAACGTCCTGTCTGGGCCAAAGAATGCATTCAGAACTATCTAGATAACAGCCTTCGACCGGCGCGTTACTACCAATCATCCAGAGAACTTGAAGAGTGTGGATATCCAGCGTGGTGCTAACCGAAGTGCTCGTTATCACGCGTTGCAGGTGTTGCGCCAGCACGCAGATCTCGTCGGGATTGAGCTCGGGGCCGCGTAGGGTGTAGTAGGCCGCCAGCATGGCGTGGCCCTCGGTGGCCGAGCAGAGATACTTCTGAGTGCAGTGCTTCACGTCCAGCAGCCACTCGGCGAAGCTGTGGTGGAAGAGCATCAGTGCGCCGGCACGCGAGACCGATATCACCCGGCGTAGCAAATGGAGCCGGCGATTGAAGTCCTCCACGGTGATGCCGACGCAGGCCGTCTTTACGCTCTCGTACAGGACCTCCTGAGTGATGGGCAATTTGGCGGCGAGTATGACGTTGAGTAGCGGCTGCACCTTGCTGAATTGCTTCCTGCTGAAGAGTCGCTGGCAGAGCCAGAGATATAGGCCGTTCAGCGTCCCCGGGATCTCCCGCACCTCGCGCAGAACAATAAAGTTCTCCGCCACGCCATCGAGAACTTTCTCCAGGTACAAAAAGCAGCCGTTGCTCTTTATGTGCAGCTGGTTCAGCATCTCGGCGGTGTCGCGCGAGATGTGCTGCCTGTGAAAATAATTTATATAGAAGTATTAGCGAAAACGATTACTCACGAGTGACAGCCACGTCGAGCGAAACGTAAATTTGAGTAAGTCCCCGCTGTTAATAAACTAACGCAAACTTTTGTGTGACGTTCGACGTGCATCTGAGTTTACTCATTTGTCATAATGCATTCTCTCGACGGAAGATTTAAGTCTTTTTGTCTGTTATTCCTTTCACAAAAAAAATTTCGACAAAAAATTAATTTGAATGTATTAATTTTATCGCTTCAAGAGAGAAATTTGTTTGAGTAAATAATGTAAATTAATTTTTTACGGAGAGCTAAGTACTTTTGGATATGCGACAATTCGCGAGAATCCTGTCGTTACCTGAGCGCGTCCTCCTGATCCAGCCGTGCGAGAATGTACTGCTGAACATCCGTGACGACCTGGGACTTTCTCAAGTCGTCCAGCGAGATCTTGCGAAAGCCGGTGAACATGCGCGAGATGGTCTTGCTCTGCCGTCGAGCGGTGCAGACTAACAAGAGCCACTGTGGGAACAGATGGTGGTGATTAGCCAGTAATTCAGCTATTGTACGACTAACATTGTCGTTCTCTCTCCGCGAGTCCCTGGTGCCTGTCTGCGGCGGATTCAGCGTCTGGCCCTCGTCGATGGAGTCCACCAGCAGGAAGAGACAGTTCTTCGGCGGCTCCACTTCCAGCAGCGGGAACAGCAGAGCTTTCTTCAAGGCGTCGTCGGGGTCCCGGTCCAGGACGTCTGGCTGTAGTGCGGCCTGAATCTCTGGATCGGTTCGCAGCTTCTCGGCGTAGGCCTCCGCGACGGCCTCCCTGGACGTGAGAGGCGGCGCGACCGTCGTCGTCGTCGTCGTCGTCGTCGTCGTCGTCGTCGTCGTCGTAGCCGTCGTTGTAGGCATCGCCACCACCGCCGCCGTCGTCGTCGTTGTCGCCGTTGTCGTTGTCACCGTGAGCATCGTTGTGGTGGTCGCGGTCGCGGTCACGGCCGTCGCCGGCGAGGTCGCGACGGCGGGCCGATAATGGACGCCGTCCGAGCTCGCTTGGAGCAGCTGGGCGACCAGGGATCGCACGAACTGCGCGGGCGACAGAGAGGCCTCGCTCCTGGCCTGACAGAAGTGTCGGGCCAACAGACGGCGATTCAGGGACCGCTGATGTCTCGCCGAGGCGCCGTTCGACGGCCACGCCAGCTCGGCGCAGAGCGCCGTCTTTCCGCTTCCCGGCCCGCCCACGATCAGCGCGCCGCACGTCTTCGACTGCGGCCGCTGCTCCAGGCAGTACGACAGCTTCATGAAGGCCCATTCCCGACAGAAGAAACGCTTCTTCTCGATCACCGGCGCCGCCATCTCGATGCGTCTCCGGATTATCTTTCCTCTCTCCGGAGTCCTCTCCCGTTACGATCTGAGATTAATCCCTTCTCCGGAATCTTCGTGGAATCGTGCGATCGAGTTTATCGAGGTTTCCTAATGTAAATCGATTGGCGTAAGTAGATCTTTGGCATGGGTTTCACTATATCCTATCGGTTTCAATCCGTTTCAGCTCGCCTGAACGTATCCGATTGGATATCTGATCGGATAAGCTGTTCTCTCTCTCTCTC